GAGGCAGGAGATTCACTTGAAAGCAGGAGGCGGAGGTTGCAGCGAGCCAATATGGCGCCACTGCACTCCAGCCTGGGCATCTAGAGCAAAACTCCATCTCAAAAAAAGAAATTCTCTTCCTTATGATTTTTTTAGTAATATTTTCTTTTTTCTAACTTACGTTATTGTAACATAGTATATGATACACAAAACATGCAAAATATGCTTGTCTACTGTTATTAGTAAGGATTCTAGTTAACAATAGCTTATTAATAGTTAGGTTTTGGGGGTATCATATGTTATATGCAGATTTTTGACGTGCAGGAAGTCAGTGCCCCAATCCCTGTGTTGTTCAAGAGTCAACTGCACTATTTTGATTACAATGTAGATCAAGAAACTGACTAATTTAATATTTGAGATTCATTGTAATGCTTTCTACAACAGATCATAACTCATGTGCATTTTACTTGGGCAGTGCCCTAAATAGAAACACAACTGGAGGGCTGGGCGTGGTGGCTCACACCTGTAATACCAGCGCTTTGGGAGGCTGAGGCTGGTGAATCATGAGGTCAGGAGATCGAGACCATCCTGGCTAACATAGTGAAATCCCATCTCTACTAAAAATACAAAGAAATTAGCCGGCCGTGGTGGCGGGCGCCTGTAGTCCCAGCTACTCGGGAGGCTGAGGCAGGAGAATGGCGTGAACCCGGGAGGCAGAGCTTGCAGTGAGCCGAGATCGCACCACTGCACTCCAGCCTGGGTGACAGAGCAAGACTCGATCTCCAAAAGAAACAGAATAGGATGTGGTTGGGTTGTTTCAGAGAAGTGCTCCCAGCATTCCCTAGACTCCTCTCTACTGGGGATACCCTTCTCTCCTGAGGAAAGACAAGAGTTCAGTTTGATTTTTAGAACACAATTAGAAATCTTGGTTGCAATAAAATGAAAGAAAGAATGTGAGTCAGTGGTAAGCTTTGAAAGGTAAAACTACAAAAGGAAACCCTATCCGTTGATGGTGAATTTTAGAAGAAATTCCAGAGAATCTCTTAGAATGTGGCCGCATGCTCGTCTAGAAGATAGCCTTAAAAAAAGAAGAGAACATGTCTTTGGCTTATCTATGACTTGATATCAAGTAGAATAATGAAGAAAAGTAAAGCATTGAATATTATCCACATGAAGAGAAATAATCTAGAAGGTGATTAGAGAAACAGAAGAAATCAAGTAAAGTAAGAACTTAGATATCACTGCACTTCTGAAATATGCAGAAACCAGATAGTTCAACAATCCTCACACAGCGTGGGTGAGAGTACACCTGGAGCACTTCCTATCCTATGCTTAGAGGTCTTACTTTGTAAAAGAGATTAACACACAAGAAGTTCAAAGCAGGCCAACAAAAGGGTAGAGGGACTTGAGGAGATGATTCACAGGGAAGGGCAAGGGCCACCTAGATGAATACTTTCGAGAATAACAACAAGGGTACCCGCAATAGTTACCTCTCTAGTAACTGGGCTGCTCCAGATGCACTGGCTCCATTGAAACACCAGCTGTGTCTTTGAACTTTAGGACTCTTGGGGTGGGTGGGAAATAGCCCTCTTTCATCCTCCCAACTGCTGTTACTTTCAGGGTTGTGAAAATCTGTGGAGGCACAATGGTTCAGCTATTCCACCTTATCTAGAGAGTTGAAACTCCACCACAGAGCTCTCCAAAGTGGCACATGGTGCTGTGCAGGCAAGTATATAGAGAGGAAAATGAAGTTCTTTATCGGTTTGCCATATAATAAGTCTGTTTGGACAGATTGACAGTATATGGAAAATGGATAAGAAACACTGATTTCCTTCCTCACAAGATACCACTACAACCCCTTTCTGCCTTCAGTACCTAGCAAAACTAGCAAATATTAAACAGGATCTGAAATTCCTTTGGGAAAAAAATACAAGGAAATGACTTTGAGACAGCCAAATAGTCTGTCAAAGCATGTCTTACTTATCCAAAGATAATGGAAACATGATTGTCAATACAAGGCAATATAATGTGATGTTAAGTTCCCTAGCTTTAAATGTATATACAACTCAAACTATTTCTGATCAGAGATCTGGTTCTATAGTCAGATGTATCCAAATCCACTACCATAGCAATAGCTATGAAGTTACCCCTTACGCCCCTTTATGAGGGACAGTTTATTATTGTGTATACTTGAACTCCTAGAAATAAATACTCACAGTTCCCTGTGACTGAGTTCCCTCTGACTGAGTAATAAGTAATTCTATTATTATGGCAATTTAATCAGAAAGCTATAGAACACAAAAATCTGAGAACTATTCTTTTGGAAGAAAGATCATGTAACTTAGTCCCTCACTATAAAGATCAGGTGTTAAACTAAAAGAAAAGAGTAGACTGCTTTTGCAGCCTGAGAAAAAGAAAGGTGGTTTCTCTAGCTAAAAGTTTATAGATGATGCAGGAACTGCTGCTTAGAAACTACTTTCTAAACAAACTGCAAAGGGATGACTATAAACATTTTATCAACATATTACAGTAAAATTGTCTAAGAAGCTGCTTCACTATTAAGGATAGAGAAAAACCACAGATGCTGTGATTTCAGTTCTTCTCTTTCATTTTCTGTAATTTGTAATTGTCTCTAAAATCTAAGCCTTCATTTGACAGGGAGGGGAAAAAAGGATCTTTTTCTGATGGGAAGACACAACCGTTAGGATGTAGCCTGGCATGTATTTCCACTGCCTGTTAATGTAGCCTGCAGAAAACTGTCTTCAGAGGAACAACAGCAGCAATACACCAACTTATTCAACAAAATGATGATTATTTTATCACACTTACTGAAATATAGACAGTGAACCTGGTGTAGCATATGACATAGGAGGGAACAGGTCTGCTCATCAAAATCCCAACCTAAAAAAGACTGACATGATATGGAGGATACGGAAATGATAACAACTGTTGATAGAAGAAACATTTGACTTGATAGTGGGCATGGATTTTCAAATAACCCAAAAATGAAAATGAGAGACAAAAAACAGAAGGACCATCATGTAGATTAAAATTTTTTTTTTTTTTTGAGACGGGGTCTCGCTCTGTCACCCAGGCTGGAGTGCAGTGGCCGGATCTCAGCTCACTGCAAGCTCCGCCTCATGGGTTTGCGCCATTCTCCTGCCTCAGCCTCCCGAGTAGCTGGGACTACAGGCGCCCGCCACCTCGCCCGGCTAGTTTTTTGTATTTTTTTTAGTAGAACGCATTAGCCAGGATGGTCTCGATCTCCTGACCTCGTGATTCCGCCCGTCTCGGCCTCCAAAGTGCTGGGTTACAGGCTTGAGCCACCGCCCGGGCCTTTTGTTTTGTTTGAGGACGGAAGTTCTCGCTCTGTCGCCCAGGCTGGGTGCAGTGGCGGATCTCAGCTCACTGCAAGCTCCGCCTCCTGGATTTACGCCATTCTCCTGCCTCAGCCTCCCGAGTAGCTGGGACTACAGGCGCCCGCCACCTCACCCGGCTAGTTTTTTGTATTTCTTAGTAGAGACGGGGTTTCACTGTGTTAGCCAGGATGGTCTCGATCTCCTGAGCTCGTGATCCGCCCGTCTCGGCTTCCCAAAGTGCTGGGATTACAGGCTTGAGCCACCGCGCCCGGCCAGATTAAAATTCTTAAGGGGCAACATAGTCAACACAACTGAGGAGAGATGAGCCCGCAACCATTTAACAGGAAAAAAACTCAGATCCCACATGCTGAAACAGACAAGCCTCAGACAAGGCTGAAACAGAGGGAAAGAGGTCAGTCTGTGAGGAGGTCAAACTTAACTGTTTTCCACTAAGTACAATTAACTAAAATAATGAGTGGAAGAGCGGACTTGGGGGGGAAAAAACAGAGCGGGTACAGTCCTAAGGTTATCCATTTTATTTGTAACCATGCTCTCAACAGACAAAATTTCAAAGGTTACATATTTAATTTGGCTTCAGGGTCTTCAAAGCAAGCTATTTTTAGAGACTGGTCTGAGGTTTGCTTAGAGTTAGCAGCTTCCTCTAAAGGATTGAAAATGAGGATTTAGAATATTCTCTCTATAGACTATATACAATGTGGAATATGTATATATGTATGGAATACATCTATACAATATATAGATATATTCATTCTAACCTAAACATTTTTTATCCTTTATGTACACACACACACACACATTACCCTACCATAGTAGTTGCTTTTGTATAAAATCAAATATGATGTTAATTTCAAATAATTCTCTATCAGTGGTTGGTATGACATACACAATCTTCAACTTCAATTTCCTTCAGAACTTGCTGAGTTCCTTTGGTTCTGATGGAAAGATTCAGGGTTTTGATTTTCTAGCTTACCTTTATTTGATGATAGCTAAGCTTAGAAATTAAAAAACAAACAAAAAAAAAAACACTGTGTGTATGCAGGAATGCAGAAATCAGGGTAGAGATTGAAAGAAAGAAAAAAAAAACACTGAAAACCTAGAGGGTGAAAAATAAATGTGTGTGTACAAGCAAACTTTATTACAGGATAAACATTTAAAATGTGAAACAATTCATCAACTAGGATTATGAAGAATGTGCCATTTTTTATGAAACACAGCAACCCCACAAACTCAGAAGGAAAGACCAAAAACATTAAAAGAAACGAGATAATTCTACCTAATTCTCAAATACAACTGCCAATTACAGAATAGGATATTCTGATTAGCACAGGTCGTTAAGTAATAATAAAAGTTTTTGGCCAGGCATGGTGGCTCATGCCTGTAATGCCAGCACTTTGGGAGGCCGAAGCGGGAGAATCAACTGAGGTCAGGAGTTCGAGACCAGCCAGGCCAACATGGTGAAACCCTGTCTCTACTAAAAAAAATACAAAAATCAGCTGGGCATGATGGCAGGTGCCTGTAATCCCAGCTACTCAGGAGGCTGAGGCAGGAGAATCACTTGAACCTGGGAGGCGGAGGTTGCAGTGAGCTGAGATCGTGCCATTGCATTCCAGCCTGGGTGACAAGACTGAGACTCTTTCTCAAAAAAAAAAAAAAAAAAAAAAGGCTTGTGATGAGAAAAGAAAATAGCTTTTATATGAGGAATGCAAGTCCTTTTAATTATCAGGCCCAGAGAGACATTAAAATGAGACCGCAATCAAGTCCTACTTCTCGCTTTAGGCTATGTTATTCATCTCTTGAAACTGCTTGCTATTGCCACAAGTAGCTATAGATTAATCTAATAATGCCACACCAGACACTATAACCCATACCCTATAGCTTAACAATGTATAGCCAATTACTAATCAATGTTATTTCTGTAAACCAATGAGAATTCCTGACAAACAACTTGGTATTAGCCCACTCCCTATCCCTCTTTTTTGCTTTTAAAAATCCACTTGTGCCCTTTCCGCCATCTTTCCGTGCCGCCACAACGGTGCGCATGAATGTCCTGACTGATGCTCTCAAGAGCATCAACAATGCCGAAAAGAGAGGCAAACGCCAGGTGCTTATTAGGCCGTGCTCCAAAGTCATCGTCCGGTTTCTCACTGATGATGAAGCATGGTTACATTGGCGAATTTGAAATCATTGATCACAGAGCTGGGAAAATTGTTGTGAACCTCACAGGCAGGCTAAACAAGTGTGGAGTGATCAGCCCCAGATTTGATGTGCAACTCAAAGATCTAGAAAAATGGCAGAATAATCTGCTTCCATCCCGCCAGTTTGGTTTCATTCTACTGACAACCTCAGCTGGCATCATGGACCATGAAGAAGCGAGATGAAAACACACAGGAGGGAAAATCCTGGGATTCTTTTGCTAGGGATGTAATATATATATTTACAAATAAAATGCCTCACGGAAAAAAAAATAAAAAATAAAATAAAACTAAAAATCCACTTGTAACTGCTGCTAATCAGAGTGTATATTCAGGGCAACTTGAATCTAGGCTCTGGGGTTGCAATCCTTAAACTTGGCTCAAATAAGCTCTCCACTTATATTAATTTTGCCTCAGCTTCTTCCTTTTAGGTTGACAGTGATTTATTTACCTTTCTGAAGACCAGGAAGTCCTTATAAATTCAATTTGTACTGTTGAAATCCTTTCTTCAATGTATTGGTACACTTTCCTGCCTAAATACATCATGTTGAACAAAAGTTAGCCTTTACTTGGTGTCTACACTACAAGGATATCATTATGGTCATTTTTGGCATGAAATAATTTATGTTCTAAAGTATAAGAGACTGGGCTAAACTTACAATGTCCCTGGGAAGTTCTTATTTGCTTTTTAGGTTCATTACATCTGCTTCTTTTTTGATGTATCTCTGGTTAATAAGCATAGTACAGAAAAATTCCAGTTATTTATTTAATGAAAAGTATCCTATAGAACTTTGGTTCTGGACTAAGGTACAGAATAGGAAATAAAAACTCAAGTGATCAGATATTAAATTAACTTTGCCACCAATATTGCCAAACTGAAACAACGGGGTATCTGAGGACAAAAACACATTTTCAGAAATTCCACCCATAGAAATGGAGTCTAGCAATCATTCATTCTTAGCACTGTATTGCTTAGTATCTCAAGACTTTGTCCAATAGCCTCAATAAATGTATAAAGATATCAAGAGGTAAAGGTCAAAAAAGGAACCATGAACATCAAACAAGGCCGCTGGAAGTGACCCAAAACATCACATGCTGGGCTTTCCTTTTTAATGATAATAACAGTGATATTGAATGTTTATCCTTGCCTTCATTTCAAAAAGCTTCTAATTCTTTGCAGACATCTCTTACTAATCTTTATTAGGCTTTGGGAAGAAAACAGTTTTCCCCAAGAAGTGCCTTCGGAGAGGAAGGAGGCTTCCCAAAGCCAATAAAAAGGAATATGTCTGCCCTTCTCCAGGTCTTCCCCCACCCCCGCCTGCCACCCCACTGGTCTCCTAACTCCCACTGTGTTGTACTGGTGATTGAAATGAATTATAATACCATGCAAGTGTTGAAAGGATAATAATGGTAATTCAGTTTGTTTCCAAAAGAGTTATAAGCTGTGTGTGTTTAATCATAACAGGGAACAGGTAAGTAGAAAAGATGAGGAAACCCGTAATTACCTTTATCCCATTATTTACTTATTTTGGGAAGAGACTTCAAATTGGTAAAGTTACAAAACACTGAACACAGATTTTTTTTATACTGCAGACTGTTAGTCTCTGAGAAGGCTCAAAGGATGGTCTTTACCTGAAAATTTTTTCAGGGACACAAATATTTGATAGATGCTATGACAAAAACTCTGCTTATTCTTACTTTGATCCGATTATTCTCAGATAGGGAATTGAGAGTCTCAGAGACCTGTGGGATAATTTCCAAGCAGGCTATAGAATCGTATCTGCTGAGTTTCAAAAAACATGTTGGGACCAGCACAGTATAATGAACTGGGTAAAGTAGTCCCCTTCACAATCCTGAACTCCTTCCCTTCTGGTCCATAAAAACATGGCTTCAAGCTACACACCAGAAGTTGAAGCATCAGCATTCTGAGCAACTGTACCAGAGTAGCAGCAATTTCTTTTCTTTTTTTTTTTTTGAGACAAAGTCTCACTCTGTTGCCCAGGCTGGAGTACAGTGGCGCCATCTCAGCTCACTGCAACCTCCACCTCCCAGGTTCAAGTGATTCTCCTGCCTCAGCCTCCTGAGTAGCTGGGATTACAGTTGCGCACTACCACGCCCGGCTAATTTTTGTATTTTTAGTAAAGACTGGGTTTCACCATGCTGGTCAGACTGGTATCGAACTCCTGACCTCATGATCCACCCACTTTGGCCTCCCAAAGTAGTAGGATTACAGGTATGAGCCACCGCACCCGGCCAATAGCAGCAATTTTTAAAATACTCTAAAATTTCAAAAAGGGAAGATGTAAGAGTGATATATAATGTGATTCTAGGATCCCTCAGAATCTGATAAATAAAAACTTAGAAAGCAGCTGCTTTGTGTCAGTGATCACCTCATTGATCATGAAAGGAAGCTAATGGGGTTACCGATATGGAATAGGCACTCATACAAAGGTCCAGGGCAGATAAGTGATTCACCGTACCACAAGCAAGGCAGTAACAGGTCTTAAGTTCTCACCCCAGAACTCATACACTATTAGTCATTCTTTAAACCACTAAGGCTACCTGTACTACATTATGGTAATATTTAATCAACATCCTTGACCCACAAAATTTTGAAGCTAAAGCCTTGTCCTTTTGGCTACATTAAAAATATAGTCTTGCTTAGTTGTGTTAAGCTGATGCCAAATTGAATGCAAATAGGTTGACTGAGCCTAAATCAATAACCTTCACACTTAGTAATATTTCTGATAGTAATTAGGTGAATAAGGAATAGCTCAAGTTTAATTATTATTTATTATTATTATTAATTATTATTAATAATAATACCTAACATTTGCCATTTTCAAAGACAACACTCACACATTATTTCATTTCAGGTAGTCAGGCCATTTATTACTATTATTCCCATTTTACTCAGGAAGCCACAAGCTCAAAGAGGTTAAGCAATTTTCCTTCAGGTCATAAAGCTAAGAAGGATCAGCACTGAGATTAAAATACAAGTCTACTGAGAACACTTTTCACTGTAGGATGTTGCTCCTCATTTTAGAATACCTTTTATGCCTTATTATCATATTATATCATTACATATGAATCCTGTGCAAAGAGCACTATTTGGTGGGCATATTGTCTTAATTATTTGATTGGTGATAGAAATTATGTTCCTAGGTTAGAAGGCATCCAGTTATACATAAGTTAGAAGATAATGAAGTAACTCTGCCCTGAGGGAACCCAAGAAACACTCTAATATTCAAAAGGAAAGAAGTTATTATCTAGGATGTCAGATTGCCTACAAAACAACTGCCTAATCACAGAGCGAATGCTGGTGACCGTAGGGTAACCTACATTTCTGGAAAAGGAAAAAGCAACTGGGAGAAACGGTAGTTTCTCACCTTAGGAACTTTGCATGGTGGTCTGACTTCAGAGATATATTCCTGATGTATTTTGGGGAAAATATACTCTCCTTCATGTTCACTAGATGCAGAACTGTACAGGTAATTTTCAAATAATAATTATCAAATGATTCATGCTTATTAATAGATCCTCACAAAAGTCTTGAAAACCAGGTAAACCAGAAAGTTACTTCTCCTCCATTTGTTAAATTATTGTTGAATGTCATGCCAAAGACTATTTTACAACTCAACTGGAGAACTAGTGGTACTAGTCCTCCTGATGTTGGGACACCCAAGTGTTTGGGTATGCACCCACTGTTTGGGTGCCAAGCACTAGCTTCTGTGTAGAGTTTAGCTACAAGAGAAAATCAGATCTTCTGGCAGCACTTACAAGGCAGGTGCAGTCATAAAGAACTTGACTTTTGATTCCATTGTCTCTGCCAGGACAGGTGGTATATTAGAAGTATGGAATCTTGCCAGACAGGCTCTAACTCAAACCTCCCTTTAGAAAACAAAACAATAAAAATGGAAACAAAATGCCAAATCCTATTCCATACCCTGAAGATTGACATTGCTTGAAAAACTAGGGCATTTTATATAATACATTCATTTGTTTTAAGCCTACATCAACTCAAGAGAAATAAGACTATGAAAATGAAAAGTCAGTTGCAGGCTGGGCTCTTTCCTTATAAATTCAATTCCCTGTTCCCCTATATAACCTAAGGGACACTTTCATTTCAGTGAATTTTATTCATACATTCCTAGCGTAAAAAACAAAACAAACAAACAAAAAAAAAACAAACCCTATAATCTAATACCTGCATAGGAGTAACACAGGCAAGTTAGCACTGCTGAGTAGAATAAAAACCTTTGGCAAATCCTACTTACTTCCCAGATCCTACCTTACCTTCCTAGTACAAACTAGCACATCTCAAATTTTTGAGAATAGTCAGTTGATGATTCCGTGAAATAGATGGTCTTTCTCTAAAAAACTATAGCATGTTTGTTCAGAACCAGGTAAAAACAAAAGGATTGTTTCTAGTGGCAAAGATAGACAATTGATTATTTTTACCAGGTTTGTCTCCAGGGCAAGTCTTTGTGATTTATTGATATGTCTCCTGACCACAAGGACACCACGAGAAGACTCAGAGGACGAACGCTCAAAGGATCCCTGTGAGGGCACTGTTAGCTGTCACCACTGGAAATACTGAGCATTTCTGGTGTTCCTGGAATCTATTTCCAACCACTACTCTGTGGTTGTGATGAAGGGATAGGAAGAGATTGGAAATCTTCTAGAGCAAACGCTCTCTTCAGTTCATAACCACAGAACCAAGATAAAATAACAAGAATGTACTTTGCCCAAGGCATAATTCTGCCTAAATCTGCCCTATCCATCATTTTTTCTCCCCTAATTCTTGTTTATGTTGTTGTTAATCTGCTCGAGGAAGGAAAGCTAGATAATCTACAAACAGGTTCCGGAAAGGCTTGGAAAATTTGTGGATTCAGAGAAAGTTATTTAAGAGGGAGCCAAAATCTCTGAGAACAATGCCCTATAAATGTCCCAAAGTGTAAGAACCAAAATATTAAATGAAATCGTTGTTCTTACCCAAGAAGATAATTTCTTAAAGTTATAGTCTTAATTTTCTTGGAATGATAAATTGTCTATTCAGGCCCCAGAGATGAGGCTGTGACGCTAATACTTAACGTGGTGGTTGTGTCTCTTCATGCCTGACTCAATCAGTTGAAATCCAAAAGTAAGTTCTTCCTTGATTTACCTGCCA